ACGTTCTTATGGCGTTGAAGTTTTCGAAGCGTCTGAGGCTTGACGGGAATTCTCTTTTTCAACAAATTCAGAACCATTTCACTGACGGCATTGATCTGGTCCGCGTTGGCGTGTTCCAACATCTCTTGACGTTTGAAACGATTGGCTTCTTGGAGAATACTGGTCAAGAACGGACGTTGTCACCGTAATCGATTCATCGTCTCTTTCTGAATCGGTAGCGAGGGTTAAAGTCTTTTATGCCTTGAATCGACTCCACCACTTTCGCACCCGCTGGAACACGGAACGCGGTCTTGCGTTTTTTCTTGACAGGTTTGAGGGTGGATTGATATGGTATTTTGCGAATGGCACGTTCCAACTTGGGTCGGTTCTTTTGAATCTGTTTGTCCAAAAACTTCGCTGCAGCACCCAGAGGACCGAGTGCTGTGAAAATATCTCCACCTCGATGCAGTATCTTGGGTCGGGAGAGCCTGGATAGTTTACCTCGTCGTCTTGCCATGTTTTGAATGTGGGTGGAGTTTTTTTCTCATCGCCTTTTATAGAGCCAAGGTTGTTTGCGATGACGATAGGTGCTTTGAGCCGCGCCTGTCAAACCCATGCGTCGGTAATCCTTACGTTTTCCCAAGGTGTAGCCCATTTTGGCGGCACTGGCAAAGATGTTCCCTCCACTTTGTCGTTTCTTTCTCTTCTTCTTACCAATGGCTTGCAAGGCTCTTTTGGCTCCGTAACTGGCTGCTCCGGAAGCCGTCCCCAAGCCGACGGCTTTACCCAGTGCCATACCCGCTGGTACTAGAGCGGCCAAAGGCAGGACACCACCTTTTTGTTTCTTCTTCTTCTGACGTCTTCTTCTCATCATGAGCGCGATCCCCGCGGCCGGGATGAGGGACGCAGGTAGGTTACCACCCTTCTGTTTCATGGTGAACAATGAACCCTAATAGGCTTAGGTCCTCTAATTTATGCTCTTTTTGGTATGGAATGTAACGAAATTTCAGGTCATACTGCTTGACGTAGACATCCTTGATGGGTTGGGTCAAATCCGTGATGGTGTCGTCCATTGTTTGTAACTTGATGAGGAAGCCTTCGAACTCATCCAAGGGAAACCCTCGCACATAGGTTCTCAATTCGATCAAGGTCTTTTCATGCGTGGTGAAAACGAAACGACTCATGTCCATCTTCATGGAAAAATTCTTGAAATCATTCCATCCCTTGACCAAGGTTCCTAA